TCTTTCTTTCTTTCTTTCTTTCTTTCTTTCTTTCTTTCTTTCTTTCTTTCTTTCTTTCTTTCTTTCTTTCTTTCTTTCTTTCTTTCTTTCTTTCTTTCTTTCTTTCTTTCTTTCTTTCTTTCTTTCTTTCTTTCTTTCTTTCTTTCTTTTTCTTTCTGCCTGCTGCCTGCCTCTCTTCCTTTCATTTTGATGGAGTATTTGCACATCTACATATCTAATCACTTAGCCTTGCTTACTCACTGGGCTAGTAGAGTGTTTGGCTGATTTAGCTATGGGGAAAACAGGGTCCAGCTTTATAAAGATACAGAGTTAGCTCTGCAGTAGCCACAAAAATAAACACCTTGGCAGATCAGAGGAAAGCCTGTATAGCTCAAGTAAAATATGCTGGTGTTAGAAACCCTTATGTGCATTGGTTCATGGTATTTACCAAGAATCTAAGAAACTTTGTAGCATTGTGCTGGTACTTGAAACAACCCAAACCTATGCATAGCTGTTTACTGTAGTCACAAGCAATGTCCTTTGGAAACACACGACAGCAGGTGCATCTTACCAAGTATCTGCCATTTTCAAGTATCCAAGCAACAGATCTGCTGCAGTATGAACTGCCTTATTTTGTCATTATCCTTCATGAGGACCAGCACATACTCAGGGAGACCTGAATGAGATCTATTCAGCATCAGAGCTTGAAACCTACCCTAAAATGAGTATGCCAGTCTTGTAGACCAATATACTAGTTGTTCCTGACTGAGGATTAAACATAAGCTTGAAGTGTCCCTTGAGATACCCAAGGATATCCAAGATTTCCTTTGCAGGACTGGCAGAAATGAGAGAGGATGTATAGGAGACTTTCTTCTTTCTGGAGTCATAGCTGGAAGCCAAGAAGGATAACACCAGGCAACCCTGGGAAATTCTAGAGAGCAGTGGATTCTAATTTTCTTTTGAGATTGCAGTTTACTATTAATCTTATCTTTGACTGTAAACATCTGGGAAAGACCAAGGATTTGAGGTGACTGACTTTGCTTTCTTGGCTCTATAGAAAACACTGCAATATGTTGTGTTGTAAAGCTGCTACTAGACTCCTTTCCTAATACAGAGCTTAAGAATATTTGTTTTAATATGCCAAGCTCGGCCTTGAAGAACTTTAAGTATGGTGCTCATGACAAAGAAAAGAATGAGCTAAAAGACAAACGTGTTATTATGACAATTAGTGAGGATTTGCTTGTTTCTTCTACTGTCTGGAGAACATACTCACAGGAGTGCCCTATTCCACCTGGTGACCTGAAACATAAGCTTTCAGATTTATGGAGGTACATCGGAACATGGGAAAGAATGAGGGAGAATTGCTTAGGTATAAAGTATCAGTCACAACTTGCCAGTGAATTCCAAAGCCTACAGTGGCTGTCCAGTGAAGCCTCACAATTTCAGGAGTCCCGTGGCCAGAAAGATCACTCCTAGTTTTCTGGCACTGACGCCAAAGAGCAAAGATTGCGCCTGTCATTATTATTATACTCTCAGTGGTTTTCAGAAGAGGATGGCTGCATTTACACTGGTCAGCGAGACATGTCAGTCTGTAATACAAATGGTCCCACACCAACCCTCAAAATCTGCTTGGGAATTCTCTGGGACAGTGTCAGGTGGCCCAGAAAAAAAACGAGCCACATTCAAACTGTTTAACTCTATAAGCAGTTGAGTTTCAGTGACTGGGCTCTACTTAAATTACTATTCTCAATACTGTAATAAATTATATGTAGGGTGGGGGGTGTTTTTTTTGCCTGTGTTTTTAAAAATATTCAACCACTTTAAATCCACAGTACTAGTATAACTTCTCAATAGAATACAAACCAAATTGATCGCACTTTGTGATTTTCACATACAGAAATCCAGTATGTTCTTTTTTTCACTATAGCAATATAAAGGAAGACAAAAAGAATCTCAGTAAAACTGGCTCTATTTCAGCAACTGCACATGCTTTACATATAAATCTATAAAGAAAAGCTGTCATTTCCTAATGTAAAATCTCTTTATTTTTTCATTATGCATCACTGAGTCCTCATTCACTGCAGAGCAAGTAAAAGATCACCCTCAAGCCTAGGACTAGGAAAGTATTTAAGATCTGAGACATCTTACAGATGGTCTTGAAGACTCAGATAATTCCATTTTATCTATTAGAATTGAGATAAACTCTACATTGCCAGGTGATTGTTGAGTTGAGCTGATGTTAGTGATTTACACTGTTCCTGACACCAGGTAAATTATTAAACTATTCAAACAACAACAACAACAAAGGAGCAATACCCTAATGCTTAATTATTTTTTTTCATTGAATCAACCTCTGAATTAGGAAATGCTGAGTGAGAATAAGGAGGACAAAAATAACTCTTGTAAAGATTTGAATT